CACTCTGTGTCTTATTCTGTTTAGGTTGCTGTAACAGAAACACTATAGAGTGGCTAGCTTATAAACAAAAAAATTTTCTCACAGTTCTGGAGGCTGGAAACACAAAATTAAGGCACAGTAAATTTAGTGTCTGGTGAGAGCCTGCTTTCTGGTTCATAGATGGCGATCTTCCTGCTGTCTCTCACACAGCAGAAGGGATGAGGGAGCTCTCTGGGATCTCTCTTACAGGGGCACTAATATCATTCCTAAAGTTCCACTCTCATGACCTAATGACCTCCCGAAGTTCCCACTTTCTAACACCATCACATTGGGGTTAGGTTTCAACCTATGAATTTCGGGGAGATAAACAGTCTTTTGCACCCTGTTTAGAAAGTCATTGTTCTTAGCTTCTGATCCTTGATGACCAGAGAAGCCTTTAAGAGAGTAAGGAGGTATTTCTGAGGAGGGCTCATAATCGACTAGTGTTTAGTTTAGTTCTTATAGATGACCAAATGCTTTTTATTTTGATACTAAACTCCAAGATTATAGTAGTAATGATAGGAACCAAATGTAAAATTCCTAAAGTATCACTTAAATTTCAACTGTCACTAACATTAGGAGTATCTCCCCTCAATAGGGTTTCAACTTTCACAATACATTATTTATGATAAAAATAAAGAAATTTCGTGAAATAACCTCTAAAGACTCCTTTGCCTCCAAATTCTGAAATACTATGATTCTAACATTAACTGTTGGAATATCATTATGTTGCTCAATATCCCATTGAACAGGGGCATCCTATATTCCAGAACCTCTTAGTGCCCTTCTGTTACTGAATTATTTTGAAAATGTGTCTGCCCTGCTTAACTAGGGGCATCTTCTCACACTTCAAGCTTTCTTTGAATTTTTTTCAAATAAGAGACTTCAGGTTGATTAAGTATAGAGACTGTATTGATTTTAATAGATGTGTGTTTTGTTAGAAGGAGATTGTCAATCACAGTCATTGCCATGCTGTGTGTAGGCTTTTTGAGCACATGTTAACTTAAGGAAATACATTTTGGATCAAAATTACCAAGAGGTAAAGAAAGTTGGATTCAGTCATGCTCCTCCAAATTCTGTAATGATAACACCCTAAACTGGATATACCCAAAGATTAATCTTATGGTAAAATCTATACTCACTCCTGTTTTGATGGGATATTTACTTTCTGGTTAAGGGAAAGTGAATGTTTACAAGCAAAGTTCTATTCATTCCTAAAGAAAGGACTTCCCAGGGCGCATGGGTGGCTCAGTCCATCTGCCTTTGGCTCAGGTCATGATCCCAGGGTCCTGGGATGAGTCCCGCATGGGGCTCTTGGCTCAACGGGGAGCCTGCTTCTCCATCACACTCTCCCTCTGTGCTTTCTCTCTTTCTCTCTCAAAAAAAAAATAAATAAATAAAATCTTGGGGCGCCTGGGTGGCTCAGTCGTTAAGCGTCTGCCTTCGGCTCGGGTCATGATCCCAGGATCCTGGGATCAAGCCCCGCATCGGGCTCCCTGCTCCGTGGGAGGCCTGCTTCTCCCTTTCCCACTCCCCCTGCTTGTGTTCCCTCTCTCGCTGTGTCTCTCTCTGTCAAAAAATTAAATAAAATTTAAAAAATAATAATAATAAAAATAAATAAAATCTTAAAAAAATTAAGAAAGGACTTCCCATTTTGTAGCTGTTGGATTATGGATGAGACTTCATTAAGATAATAATCCCCAAGCCCTAGAGGGTGCTCTCAGTAGGAATTAACATTCCCAAACAAGTAGATGCAATGCTCTTGTCCCTCAAGGCCTTTCAGCTCTCAAACCAATTGAGCTACTGTAATCCCCAAATACTTACCTTCTCAAATGGGTATGCAAGCTTCTCTTCTAAATGAAGTCATATAAACCTCGAGTAGCACCAGGCTAGCCTATGTCTTTTTGTATTTTTATTGGTCTCTATACTCTTAACTCCCTGACCGGCAGCTTTGTTAATGAAGGAAGCTCACTTTAATAAAATTACTATGTTTAGATGCTCGTTATTAGAAGCTGCATGCCAAATGCTAACTTAAAGCCCAGTCATTAAGGTTAAGAGGGTTTGTTGTGCACACTCCTTTGCATAACTCATTCTGAGGCTGTTATAGAGCCATACTGGCTATTGCCTTTTTAAACAAGCCTGTCTGTCATATGTTCTTGTCCATGATTTGAACCTATCAATGTGATAAAGTCTTAATAAGCATGACATTTGTTCACCAGAAAAAAAAAAAAAAGAGGGTTTATCGCTGCTATTCTTCAGTTTGCCTCCCCATATGAAATCTGTAGTGGCTTTTCTAGCCTTTACCTGTAATATGTTCTATTACCATAGGGCCTGTCCTTCTTCTGATATGGAGCTGAGGTGTTTAGAGAATGTTCATAATTAGGTGTTATTCCTACATCTTTTGGTCAGCTTTTAGAGATCCTGATGCCTAGGTAGCACTCCACATCAACTGAATCAGAATGTTGGCGGTAGGAACCCTAGGCATCAGTAATTTTTAAAAGATCCCCAGGTGATTGCAATGTGCAATGAGGTTGAGAAACCACTGGCTTTACTTATTAACCATAAAGCTTAGAGTAGAGGTTCTTAACTCCTGGTAGCAATTTACTCCTCAGGATTAATTGACCTTCTAATAGTGTACTTCACTTGAAAAAAAGATGTTATGTAAATATAAGACTGTTTTTTGTTATTATATAGACTGTAAAAAAGCGCTGTTTTGTGGTAAAATATATATAACATAAAATTTAGCATGTTAACCATTTTGTACTGTTTAGTGGCATGAAGTACATTCGCATCGTTGCACTACCATCACCACCATCCATCTCCAGAACTTTTTTCATTGTCCTAAACTGAAACTGTGTCCATTATACAGTAACTCCCAGAATAGCCTGCAGCCCGTGGCAGCCACCATGCCACTTTCTGTCTCTATAAATCTGACTGCTCTGGGTACTCATATAAGTGAAATTATGCAGTATATGTCTTTTTGTGACTGACTTATTTCAATTAGCATGATATCTTCAAGGCTAAACCATGTTGTAGCATGTGTCAGAATTTCCTAAATTTTTTAAGGCTAATTAATATTCCATTGTATGTATATACCACGTTTTGTTTATCCATTCATCTGTCCTTGGACACTTGGATTGCTTCCATCTTTCGGTCATTGTGAGTAATGCTGCTATGATCATGGATGTACAAGAAGTGAATTTTAAGTAAAGATAAATAAGATGCTCATCTGGATAAATCGCTTGCTCTTCTTTTTTAAGATTTTATTTATTTATTAGAGAGAGAGTGAAAGCCTGAGCAGGAGGCAGTGGGGGAGAGGGACAAGCAGACTCCCTGCTGAGCGGGGAGTCTGATGCAGCGGCTTGATCCCAGGACTCTGGGATCATAACCTGAGCCAAAGGCAGACGCCTAACCGACTGAGCCATCCAGGTGCCCCAAATCACTTGTTCTTTATGGATAGGTTGTAGTGTAGTTTACCACATGAGTTTACCTGCCTCTAGTGACTGGCCTGCCTTTTACAAAGTAGGGCAAAAATTAGTTACTATTCCATATGCTTTCTGGATTTTCTCAAATATGTTAGAATTATTTTATTGAATTAGCTCTCTTGCCCACTCTGTCGATCAATCCCACAAAAGCTGTGTTCTAGAAATATAATGAAAGAAGTCTGTATCTAGAATTAAATTAAGGACTCGTGTTGTATAGTTTAGTTTAATTCCAAGTGCTACTACAGCAAAATTGTAAACTTCAAAACAAACCTAAAAGCGTTCCCTGGTCTAGAAGTTATAAACCAGAAATATGTATGTTGCTCTAGAAGTTGTAAACTAATTAGCTTGAATCTAAAAGCCACATTATGATCTCTACTTCTGCCTGTGTTACTCAGGCCCTTTAGCCCTGCTTCTATACATGATCCTAGATTTTTGTATTACAAAATCTAGTACCTGAGCTAAGGGTTCACTTTTTAGTTCTTTCCTTTTTTTTTTTTTTTTAAGATTTATTTATTTATTTTAGGTGGGGAGGGGCAAAGGGAGAGGGAGAGAGAAACCCAAGCAGCCCGCACTGAGCTCAGAGCCCGAGGTGGGGCCCTGAGGTCAAGACCCAGAGATCACAACCTGAGCTGAAACCTAGAGCAGATGCTTAAGCGACTGCGCCACCTAGGCGCCCTTAGTTCTTTACATTCTTGGTGAACCAACCCTGTTTGTCTCTTGACTTCCGTGAAGGGTATGTTTCTTTTTTACAACAGTTCAGATAGGTGTTCTACAAGAGAGCAGCTGTGTTGTCAGTAAGTGGAAATTTTATGGAGTCAGTCAACTTTGGAAAAACAGTGATTACTTTTTTTTTTTTTTTAAAGATTTTAATTATTATTTGACAGAGAGAGACATAGTGAGAGAGGGAACACAAGCAGGGGGAGTAGGAGAGGGAGAAGCAGGCTTCCCTGCGGTGCGGGGAGCCCGATGTGGGGCTCCATCCCAGGACTCTGGGATCACGACCTGAGCCGAAGGCAGACGCTTAACGACTGAGCCACCCCAGGCGCCCTAGTGATTACTTATTTTAACATTGTATTTCTGAAGGCATGACTTTTTCATATTCCCACATATTTTTCATATTCCACCCACTCTTTGTTACTGTATCAAAGAAATGAATTTTCATTTGTGTGTGTATATTTCACTTTGATCCCCTTGACACTTTTCCTTAATTTTTCACTTCTCATAAAAGGCAGTTGAAATGAAAAGAGGCTCAGCCACATCACTGAAAAGATATAAATTGTACACTTTGCTGGTCTCATTGGGTTAACAACTGGGCTGCATCTGTGCGCTTTAGAGGTACAGGAATGACTGAAAACTGAGAATCTGATGAGAATATAATTTTAGATCCAATTCTACATTTAAACATGAGCAACTTGTTCTTCTTGTCTGAAGACTTATCTATCGAACTCCACAGTCTGAGAGGCTAAGAGTGAGTAAATAAACCTTCTTTCTTTCTAGATCTTCATCTGCTGGTGGATGTGGCCTGCAAGCAGGAGCACTTTCCAAAGGAGGAAGAATTAAAAGAGTGAGGAACGGATGACAAATGTGACATTGTGCGCTAGCTGTAGCTGGAGGCAGACTAGCCTTGCACATGACACACTGTTGGGATTTTTTCAGTTCTGTTAAGGAAAAAAAAAGTATTTTTGTTTTGTTAATTGAGAATTTTGTTAATTGAGAATTGGGACTTTGGTATTTACTACAGCTGTTCAGTTCAGACTATTTACCTTGACGAACTACTAAACATCAAGCAGCCCCCCCCCTTTTTTTCTCTTTGCTGCCCAGACCCCTTTCAAATGAAAAGTCCTGGCCTTCTGTTACAGTCAAAAAGCATCTAAAAACTGCTGCATCTATGTACTGGAGAATAATCTGTGTGTGTGTGCTGATTTGCCGTCTTGCCGCTCTCAAACTGTAGTCAGCACAACTCCAGGGGGAGTTCAGTCTATCTGTTTCAAGTCACAGTGTGATCCTTCTAGAGAAGATTGTGTGAGAAACAAAGGCATGTGAGGTCACCAAGATCACAGGTCTAAAGGGGTCAGGAATTCCAGGGAAGAAACTCTGAGAAAGAGCTAATTTTCTAAGTGATTAACCAGGAAATGCTCTTACTTCCTAACCCAGCATTCTGTTTCAAAAGCAAGGCATCCGGACTTGGACATCCATCACATTTAACAACCCCTGATTCTTTTATATTAATGGGAGCATTCTTTTATTTTCATATCTTTCTTTAATTTTAATGATACATTATCATAAATGGTAAGAAGGTTTTGTTACATATCACTTATTTAAATGTCTTCTAAAGAAAAGTAATTTGTTTATTATATTTATAAATGCTGGTAGATTTAAAAGTTTTAAAGCTTTATATTTTTATTAATATTTCAGGATAGAAGGATAAAGGATGCATGTGTAAGATATTTATTTTGAAGGGGAAAATGTGTGAACAAAAACATTAAGAGATTTAACACTGTTTTCTTGCTTTAGCTTTTTATATTCAGTCTGTATAAATTCTCATCTATATGAGATCTTGTGTGCAAATTTTGGGAAAAACTTGATTAGTAGTCATTTAACGGAAGCTGTACCTCTGACATTTTCAATAATTTATGTCTGCTTTATGCTTCTGAGAGAATTTTGGATAACGGGATAGACCATAACATTTTTATTTTATCCCCTCTGTAGGATTCTAAATTCAAATAGGAAGATTGTGGGACCGGTTCTTAGGAGAGGTATCTTGGGTGTCCACTTTCTGTGGTTGATCCCTCACTTGCTCATCCAATGACAGCAAGAAACTTTCTGATTTTAAAGTCTTTTAAACTGGCTAGAACTTTCTTATTGGATTTTGTTTCAGTTGTCCTAATAAGAATTGCAGGAACAAAAGGAAAGCCTAAGAATATGAAACTAATTAAAAAGAAAAGACACTTAGTGATATGACATAAATACTATGCTACTCTTTGTGAGTGTAACAATTCATTTCTTAAATCGCATTGTGCCTTTACAATGATGTCAAACCATAGAAATGTTACAGAGGTAGTAGTTATTTGGAAAAGGATGATTTCTGTATTGGTGTGTGCAGTGACTCAGTTTAGGTATGAAGGTAGGTTCTGAAAAGTGACTTGTTTGGTCCATCTGATTAGACTGGTTGATGTCCATGTGATGGGCATTTATTCACCTTTATTAGCAAGGTTTAAAAGATGAACAAATTATCAAGACCCCTCCATCTTTTGGCCAGACTATGTATTTTGGCAGAGTATGTGAAGAGGAGACCCAATTTCCAAATGAAGGAACTTTGTCTTTTCTCTGTCACGTTGAGAAGCTGATAAACGGTGTAGGTGACATTCCTTCCCTTAATATGCCTTTTTAGCTTTGTATATGTTGAAAGAAATAATATCTTTTGAGGAAATGTGTCAAGCAGAAACCTTGGCATAGATTTGGTTTCAGTGGTTTTAAGGCTTAATTAATGAAATACCTTTATCAGCTTTCCAAACTTTTTTATATATGACTACAACAGACCAAGGAGCTGGATCTCCTGCTACACTCACATGCCTGCTACCTATCAACTAAAGCTATCATCACTGACTTGGGAAAAATGGCAAAAGATAAAATAAAATCTTTGTGTGAATTAGCCAGTAGGGCCTGACACATACTAACAAGGTTTCTGACTAGCACCTCAGTATTTCAGCACCTTAAGCATGATAAATTTCAATCAGTCAACAATAAAGTGAGTGTTTCAACTGGACTTGTCTTGCTTGTTTTTATTGTTTTATTGGTGATCAACAGAAACCTCAGTTGTCATGACTATTATTAATAATAGCAAAATTTTAAAGAGAATGTGTTCTGTTTTTCAAAGAATCTAACTTTAAAAAAAGTGTCAGGTTTTTTTGTTTTGTTTTGTTTTTTTCATTTGCAATTGAAGAGAGATTGAACAGAGATTGAATCTTTAAAATGCCGTTAGGGATAAGGACAATTCTTGGACATGTTTATAGAAACTGGGTTTTTTTTTTTTTTTTAGGAAAAGGATGAATAGTCTTCAGTAGCTTTAGTCAATCCAGATATGGAAATAGACCCTGAAGGATGATCTCTCTCATGGGTAGGATTAGGTAGAGTAGACGTCAGTGAGATGGGCATTTCATTACCACAGAAATGACAGCTTTATGACATCCCTTGGGAGTTGTGATATATCAACCCCTGCGGGATAAGCCGGAGATCTCTTGCTTGTCAATTCTGGTGACCTAGTAAACACAGTATATCAGGGAAGTAAACTATATAGGGCTGTTTGGGTGGATACTGAGTATCTCACCTGGGGATACCCAGGTTCATGAAACATATTATCATCATTCCTAGATCTTGCAGTTTCCTCAAGAGAGGGCAACCACATCTATATTTTTTTCCTTCTTTCACCTAAGTATGTATATTAACTCTTAGGTTTGTTTAGGTCTCTTAACTCCTTTGCAAGTTTCAAGCAGGAACAGGTGAGGCAAAGTCCATTGGTAGGTCACTTTTTGTTTAAAGATGTTTTTGCCTCTATCAAATATGTAGTAATGTATATTTTACATTATTTATGCTATGCTATTATGCAATATATATAAAATTAAAAATACAAAACCATAAGAGATTTTAAAAAATTCTTTTGAAAAGAGTTGTAAAGGTTATAGTTGCATTGTGTTCTTAAGGTCCAACCAATAAAGAAAACGTGCTAAATTAAGAATTTATTTTAGAGCTTATTTCTCTGCTCTATGTCAGTTATTAGGCCAAAATGTCAAAATTACTCTCATAAACCTTCTTTAGGGAAAAAATGCTCAAGGTGAAGAAAGCACTCATACTTTTTGCTCTGGAGGCATTGTGTCATTGTTTTATAACCTACAATGCAATTATTGTTATCCACATTTTACAGATGATCAATTTGTATGTTCTCATTTGTACAATTAAAACATTTTTTAATCTTCTGTGCTTCTTACCACAACTAAAATTTAAGTGTAAAAACAATTTAAGTGTACACTTCAATAGTGTTAACCACATTCACATTGTTGTACATTTATACAGTTTGGAGAGATTATTGGCAATAGGTAAATAAAGTGTCTGGACACAGTCAAATATAATCTGGTAAATTTGAAAATTCAAATTTTAGAAACATATATTAGAAACTTTTGCATTCTAATGACAAGGTAACTAAAAAAGTTCATGATTGTGGTAGTTAGCCAAGAATTGGTTTTCTTTTTGCCTTACATGCTTCTCATGAAGCATATATATTTTACCCCTTTGCTTATATTTATGACATAGACTACTTGCAATCTTACATTGAGGGCATAGGTGTGATCCATAGTATTATTTCACTCTCCAAAGATGTGAGAAGAAAATAATAGGTTCCAGACTTCTGATATCAACCTGATCTAAAAGCTCCATACAGGCACAGTTTAGAAAAGAGCTGCTGAATTTAAATAAGTAAAAGCTGAAGAAAAACTATGTGTAAAATGGACAGGGTTCTTGCCAGGGTAGCAGACCTGAGACAGCAATAAGGACTACAGCACTGGATCACTTTATTCTAGCATTGTGCCGTTTATAGACACTAAAACCTGGAAAGAGCAAAAACCCCTTTGAAATTATATTTGTAAAATCTTGTGTCCGCTCTTTCACGTTCTGGGTTTTCATTATTTTATTCTCTTTATTTCCTCATACCACCATTTATGTTCTCTTGGGTGCAGAACCTGCTTAGATACCTGTTTGAGTGGACTTGATTTACGTGTGGTAGCTTGCTTACCCAGAGAAAGTTATTGAGCATTGAACTGGATGCAGTTTGGCTGTGGCTCAGTAGAGGGAGTAGAGGAGCTGAGAGAGCAGAGAGAGCAAAAGAACGTGTCTGGCTCAGTAAGTGCGCGCCCTGAAGCCCTGGCCCTAGCAGCCAGCCAGGAGGAGGGGTGGGGCGGGGCGGGGCGGG